AAGTACTTGGGTTCCTGCCACCCCCGTGGGAGACACAGAGAGAGAGGTTCCTGGCTCCTGGCTTCAGCCTGGCCTAGCCCCAGGTGTTGCAGATGTTTGGGCAGTAAACCAGCAAATGGACAATCTCTCTCCCTGTCAGTCTGCCTTTCAAATAAATAGATAGACCTTAAAATCTGTACGTAGGGCTGGCGTTGTGGTGCAGCTGATCAAACTGCCATTTGCTGTACCCACAATTCCATAGGGGAGTGTCGCTTTGAGTCTCAGCTACTCTGATGTGTCACCTGGGAGGCAGCAGCTGCTTCAGCCCATGTGCTTCAGTCCCTGCTGCCTGTGAGGGAGGCTGGGATGCAGTTCGAGGCTCCTGGCTGTGAAGTAGCCCAGCCCCAGCCATTGCAAGTATTTGGGGAATGAACCAGTGGATGTAAGATGTGTGTGTGTGTGTGTAAATGTGTGTATTCTGCCTTTCAACTAGATAAAAACAAAATGAAAGTGACACCTCCATCCACCGGTTCACCTGGTTCACTCCCCAGATGGCCGCAGTGGCCTTGGGAAGTGACACCGGGATCTGGAATGCACTCCAGGCTCCCCACACGGGGGGCAGGAGCTCAGTCACTTGAGCATCGCTGCTGCCTCCCCAGGTCTGCATTAGCAGGAATCTGAAGTCTGAAAGGAGAGGCAGGCACCTTAACACCTGTGCTAAACACCTGCCCTGTTTAACCCTTTTGAGTTCCAGTTTTCCTATCTGGAAATTAGGGCAATTAAAGAGGATTAAATGGAGGGGGGGGATCGCTCACTGATTTTTATCACGGTGTCTGGCGCACAGAAAGCGCTGGGTAATGCTGGCCAGCAGCAACAGGCAGGAGTGGGAAGTTGCACCGTCATGGGGTAAGGGCCCCACATGCACACAGGCTCTGAGCCGTCAGGGCTGGGTGTGACCCCCTCAGGAGAAGCTGCATTTGAGCCGGCACCAGGAGCCCAGAGACGGTGCAGGAGGGGCCGAGGACACCCCCCCACCACACACACACACACACACACACACACACACGCCAGGGAGAGCCTTTCCCTACTCTCTGCCGCCTGCAGGTGGGAACCAGGGCTGAGATGAGCGCTCCCTCCAGGACCGCAGCGGCCAGGCTCAGGGAAGCAGCAGCACACAGACAGGTGTGAGCGCCGTGCCCACAGACAGGTGTGAGCGCCGTGCCCACAGACAGGTGTGAGTGCTGTGCCCACAGACAGGTGTGCGTGCCGTGCCCACAGACAGGTGTGAGTGCCGTGCCCACAGACAGGTGTGCGTGCCGTGCCGGGGCAATCTGGGTCTGTCTTGGTCCCGGCCAGGAATGACAGGAATGTTGTGGATTCACGGGACAGGATGGTGAGGGAGAGGTTAGCACCTCCATGCAGGCTGGGCATGTCCTCAAGCCCCCACACTCCACGGAGGGGGAGGTCTGCGGTGGGCTGGGACCTTTCCCGGACGGTTCTGTCCAGGATGAGACCTGGGGACCACTGGGAATGTCCCACCCCGGAACACAGGAGGACCCATTCGCAGGAACAGCCCTGGAGAACTGGGAAGACTGGTCAGGTGGAGCCCATTGGAGGTCACCACCATGTCAGGAGGGAGAACCCTGCCCACAGAATCCAGGTTCTCACGTGAGGTTGCTCAGGGCAGGATATCCTGTATTTATCAGGCGGAAAGCGTGGGGAGAGGTTAGGTAGGAGGCTTTCAGCAGTAACACAAACTGCAAATATCTGTGCCCCCCCCTCCATTCCTTCTAGCACCTTCTCGGGAGTGGGATCTCTGTACTGAGAGGTCAGTGCAAGGGTGGGGCCACAGCCGATGCAGGGAGCAGCTGTTTGCGGCAGGATAAATCCAACAAATCCAGGAAGGCAGCTTCCCAGGAGCCTCTCTTGCAAGGGGCCCGATTTGAAAAGAACCCCCCGAGGACGTGCAGAGAGGCCTGGCCCCAGGTCTCCCACAAAAGTCGGTCATTAGGAATCGTCCCCTGTCCGGGGCTGCGGCGAGGACTGCGGAAACAGACCGGCCGGGCCGGGCTAACCTGCTCTCGGTGCCACACCTTCGCGCACCCCTGGCTGCGCCGGCACTGCTCGGGTTTCCGAGGCGGGGGTCCTCCGCCCGGCCGGGCAGAGGCTGTTCAGCCCGGAAGTTCCCAAGGGCAGCGCCGGGGTCGCGGCCCGATGGCTGAGTCACGGGAGGAGGAGACACTCGGTCCCGGGAGCCAAGAGCCCGAGACAAAGATCCGGAACCCCGAGGCCAAACTGGCAGCGGCGGCCGCAGCGGTGCGCGGCTCCGTCTTCCCCGGGATGGGCGTGGCCCCCCTCTCGGGCTCCGCCGGGGGAGGGGCCGCCTCTCGCCCCCGCAGACCACGGGGCTGCATGTGACTGGGGCTCTGGCACGGTCCCCGCGCCCCCGCCCAGGCCCGCCGCAGAGCTGCTGAGCGCCCTCGGCGAAGGGGGCCCCAATCGTCACGCGAGGGTCACAGACCCTCACCATCACCCGAAGGCTGTAGAGGGGGCAGGGGTACAGGTGAGGTCTCACTGGGGGAGTGGTACGGGATGGGGGGGGATAGAGGTCATCGCGCGCATGCGCAGGGCGCCTCATTGTTCCCCCCACCACCGCTTCTGGGCGGCGGCCACAAGCGAAATGGTTGGGGAAGGGGCTGACAACGCCATCCATGCACACACATGCACACACACACACCCCGAACAAAGCTTGCTCTCCTCTCCGGAGGTCTCAAAGCCCAAGTTCCCTTCCTACGCCTTCCGTGCCGTCCTCGGGGTTCGTGCCCGCTCCCTGGGCGCTGCCACACCCCCGGCCCCCGCCCACTCCGGCCCCCACGGCCCTGCCCGCTCACCTTGCGGTCGGTGACTCCCTCGCCCACCGCAATCACCTCGCCCGCGCCCTCCATGCCGGGGGTGAGGGGCGGCGGCGGCAGCCGGTCGTACAGCCCCTGCCGAGCCATGAGGTCGGCGAAGTTGAGCCCGCAGGCCCGGACGCGCAGCGTCAGCTGTCCGGGCCCGGGGGCCGGAGGCGCGGCCGGCCGGCTCTGCAGCTTCACCTTGTCGTAGCCACCGAAGCCCGTGAGCACCAGGCAGCGCAGCGGCGGCGGCGGGGCTGCAGCCTCCCCTTCGGAGGCCACGGGCGGCTGGGGGTCGCTCGCCGCCTCGGCTTTCGGGGGCTGAGAAGTAGTGTCTTCCCCGGCCCCTGCCTCGGCCGCCGCCACCACGGCGGCCGCCTCGGCCACCTCTCTCTCGGCGGACATGGCTGGGACTCCCGACGTGCGCGCACAGCTGGACCGAGAGTGCACAGCTGGGGAGGGCGGGGCGCGCGGCGGGAGGAGCCGCGGCTGCGGGCTGAGGGCTGCGGACCGCGGGGCGGGGCCGGGGGCGGGAGGAGCCACGGCTGCGCGCAGCGGGGCGGGGCGGGGCGGGGCTAGGGCGGGGACTCGCGCGCCGACTTTAAGGGCCAAGGCCAAGGCCGCGAACGCTCCGGGGGCAGGCGGTTGACTTATGCGGGCGGACGCACGAGGGGACATCCTTGGGGTCGTGCAACACCGCGACTCGACTGATTTATTCATAGTAAGCCTTATGTCAATTTAAAGCTATCAACCCCAAATCCTGAGCGTGCACCAGATTTGGGGAGCCAGCCACCTGTGGACGAGAACCCTGTGACTCAGGCCCTGGCTCTACTCCTAAGTAACCCAGACAGGGATCACTCGCTGTGATCTTACAGTGCTGAAGTAGGAGCAAGGAGGCCAAACATTCAAGGCGTTCTGACCTGGTTGATGCTGTGTCTCGTTTTCCCTTCTGCAACATGGTTACAATGCTGGTGCCGTGCCCCAGTTTTCTCTACAGGGTTATGTAGGAGAAGACAAAATTAAATCAAGTATCTTCCACTTCAGGATGCACTTTTCAAAGGTGGGGCCGGCGCTGTGGCGTAGCAGGTAAAGCTGTCGCTGTCGATGCCAGCATCCTATATGGGCACCGGTTCGAGTCTCGGCTGCTCCACTTCCAATGCAGCCCACGTGGGAGACCCAGAAGAAGCTCCTGACTCCTGGTTTCGGCCTTGCCCAGCCCTGGCCGGTGTGGTCATCTGTGGAGTGAACCAGGGGATGGGAGATCTCTCTCTAACTTTGCCTTTTAATTAATGCAATAGATCTTTTTAAAAAGGGTAAATGATGCCATGCAAATGGGAAACAGTGGCTTGATTATTGGTCCCTGAATCGAGCCTGAAAGTGACTTTGGCTCTTGTCTCTGGCTCCCGCAGAGCTGTCAGCTCTCACTGTCCCTATCTCCCGGAGCATCCGCCAGAGGACGCAGCTCTCCCGAAACTGGAGGAGCCCGGTGCAGGCTTCCCGCTGGCCCAGGCCTGCCGTCGTCACCCCGCACTCGGACCCGACCGCACATCGTCACGGGAACGCAAAGCCACCGAGTTAGCGCCTTTTTTACGGAAGTGTTGGAGTCCGTACCCGCGTGTCATCGGGACCCCGGCCAGGACGTGAGCGTGGAGGCGGGAGCCAAAGCCGAAACGACTCGCTCCTCCCTTTGCCATCTCACGCCCCCCTGTGTTCAGGAAGTGGATGGCCGTCACCGCGCGTGTCCGCACTAACACACCTGCGTGCACGCAGGGCCACCCCGAAGGCCCGAGCCCCGCGCGTGTGCTGCTCCCACCCCGCCCCTCGGAACTTCACCCATACTCGGCCCCCCGACCCCATCCCCAAGGAAGCCAAACCCGGCGCTGCCTGCGTCAACCCAGCAGGGGCCCCTGACCCCTGAGAGTCCCAGAGCTCGCCGCAACCCGGCTCCCGCCCTGCGCTCCCCAAGCTCCGCCCACATCTCCTGGGCCCCGCCCCCGGCTGCGCGGGTGGGAGGCGGGGCCGGGGGCGCGGCCGCCGGGCTGGGGGCGGGGCGTGGGGGGGCCGCGGCCCCGGGCGGGGGCTCGGCGCGGGCCCGCGAGATGCCGGTGTCGGCGGCCCGAGCGGCTGCAGCTGCAGCGGCGGGGGAGGCGGCGGCGCAGGCGGCGGCGGGGCCCGGGAGGGGGGCGACGTGGGGGGCCGGCGAGTAGCCGGGACTATGGAGGGGCAGAGCGGCCGTTGCAAGATCGTGGTGGTGGGGGACGCAGAGTGCGGCAAGACGGCGCTGCTGCAGGTGTTCGCCAAGGACGCCTACCCCGGGGTGAGGGGCCCGCGCCGTGGGAGGGGGGCGCTGGGGCTGCCGGAGGAGGGGGTGACGGGAGCCCGAGGATGAAAGGAAACCGATGCCGGGGTTACCGGGGGCGAGAGAGCGCGGAACTCGGAGGATGGGGGAGGCGTTGGGGGCTTCGGGAGCACTGCGGAGGACTGGGGTGGGAGGACTCAGGAGCAGAGTGCGGTGGACTGGGCTGGCGAGACGCGGAGGGTCTGGGAGGGAGCGCCTGGGCGACGCTGGAGGTCCTGGGCCGGGAACAGCGGACGAACTAGGGGCCGAGCGGCCGGGAGGGGCCTGGGAGCCTGGCGCGGATTCCGCGGCGGCGGCAGCTCCCAGGATCTCCCCTTCACCCACCCCCAGAGCAACTTGGGTGCAGGGACGGGGCTGGATCGGGTGTGGGCGTGAGGAGGGCATTGGTCTGGGGAGTCTCATCTTGACCCCTGCGTGTCTGCAGAGTTATGTCCCCACCGTGTTTGAGAACTACACCGCCAGCTTCGAGATCGACCAGCGCCGCATTGAGCTCAACATGTGGGACACTTCAGGTAGCCAGGTCCCTCGGGGTCACCCTGACTTCCAAGGGCCCCTACCTTAGATTTCGGGTCGCCCCACCCCACCCCACCCATCCAATTGCAGGAGGAAGGAAAACCGAGTTTGTTTAAAGTTAGGGAAACTGAGGCAGGACTTGCTGAGCCTGGCAGAAGCCCAGTCCTGAGGGAGAAAGCCCCTTGGCTGGGTTCCACCTCCCTGGAAGAGCTGGGAAGGAGGGGCTTCTGTCTGGGGACGGTGTTTCTTAGAGGACAGGACCCAGTGTAGAAAAGACACTGATTTTCTTGGTGGGGGTAGGTGGCGTCTAGTTTGAACTAGAGAAATCTGCGATCAAGTCCCAGAGGGAGGGAGAGCACTTGCCCGCCCCTGCTCCTTGCCCCCCCCCCCGTGTGGAGGGGTTTCTGTTTCCATGCACTCCCCGGGGAGGGGGGCTTCAGAAGATGCCCCGCAAAGCCTCGGAAAGTGCATGCGGAATGTTGCCGGAATATTCGTGGCTTTCATGAGCTTTGTCAAGGGGCCCCAAACTCAGGGAAGATGGAGAGTGATTACTTTTCGAGACCTGTAGGGAAGCAGAGCGGTTCCCTGCCTGGATCGAGTCCCCCCTGCTCTGCTGCTCTCCAGCCCGCAGAAACCACAGCCTCCCTGGCAGGTCCTAACACTTCTGCTTTCCATTCTCTGCTCCCGCACCCTGGATCAGGACTTCTAGGGCCCCCGATCCCCTCCCATGCCCCCCATCCACTCAGCCCCCTGTCTGTTCCTTCACTCCCCGTCTTCTCTCAGGTTCTTCGTACTACGATAATGTCCGGCCTCTGGCCTATCCTGACTCGGACGCCGTGCTCATCTGCTTCGACATTAGCCGGCCAGAAACACTGGACAGTGTCCTCAAGAAGGTGGGAGCCCGGGGGAGCAGGACAGCCGGACAGGGGCACTGGACACCGTGGTCCTGACCAACATGAGTCAGGACGAGGGTGAGGGCTGGGGCACGGCCATCAGCCTGAGAGTGGGGGAAGCACTCACCCTGCCTCGCCCCTGCCTCCCACTCCTCCTGTCCTTCTCTTGACCTCTTGACCCCTGACCCCAGCTGGGAGCTCAGAGCTGGTTACCAAATGCAGCCAGGGGAGATGCGGAGAGCCAGAGGTGTACTCAATGATGGCTCTTGTGCTCCCCCAACTCCCTGGGTGTGGGAACCCCAGATGGAGGGGCTTAGGAAAGCCCTGTGGCCTCCTCTAGGCCCCTATTTCCATGAGAAAGGCCCATGGTGAATGGACAGAAGTCAGGGAGGGCAGCCCCAGCTCCCAGCGGGGAGGGAGGATTGGTCTGTTCCCAGAGGAGTGATGGGAAAAGGGAGCGGGCATGGGAGGTCGCACACTGGCAGACCCTTCATGGTCACTGACGGAGAAAGAGGGTCCCCCCAGCCCCACCCGAATCCTCCCTCTCTCCCCACCCCCTGGTACCTCCTGCCCCACATGGGAGGGTCCCAAGGGGTACTGGGTTTTGCGTGACTTGAGGAAGGAAGGGCTTCCTCTTGGGCCTCCCTCTAACCCTCCACCATTCTGTTTTCTTCCCCCGAACAGTGGCAGGGGGAGGCTCAGGAGTTCTGCCCCAACGCCAAGGTTGTGCTTGTTGGCTGCAAACTGGACATGAGGACCGACCTGGCCACGCTGAGGGAGCTGTCCAAGCAGAGGCTTATCCCCGTTACCCATGAGCAGGTGGGACCCTTGACCTTTGACCTAACCCAGCCGAGGCCTCTCACCGTGGCCCCTCTCAGTCTCCCTACCTGGCCCCGGGCCTCTGTCCTCCAGGCCCCTCCCCTGCAGCTGGCTGAACCCCTTCTCTTCTCCCATGTGCTTCGTCCCCAGGGCACTGTTCTGGCCAAGCAGGTGGGGGCCGTGTCCTACGTTGAGTGCTCTTCCCGGTCCTCTGAGCGCAGCGTCAGGGATGTCTTCCACGTGGCCACAGTGGCCTCCCTTGGCCGTGGCCACAGGCAGCTGCGCCGTACTGACTCACGCAGGGGACTGCAGCGATCAGCCCAGCTGTCAGGGCGGCCAGACAGAGGGAGCGAGGGCGAGATGCACAAGGATCGAGCCAAGAGCTGCAACCTCATGTGAGGGGCTGGGGAGGGGCGGCCGGGCAACAGGTTCCTCCTGACCTGACCCCAGCTGGGAGGCCAGGGGCAGCAGAATCCATTCTCCTGAGCAGGGGGGTTGGAGGGCAGAGAGGTGTCCCCAGTCCCTACAGTCACCCCTCTGTCTCCACTGGAAATCGAGGGGGCTAACGGGGAGCAGGCATCAGGTGCATGAGCTGGGGTGTGGCTTATGGGGGCTAGGAGATCTGGCAACAGCAGTGACCTTGACTGAGTCTTGTATTTGAAGGGTACCTTTCCTCCCCGTAGCCTGGCTGGCTTCCTTCCCTTGGGAAAGTGTCCATCCCACGATTTTCTCTTCCGCTCCTCTCACTTCTACAGCTGTTCTCACACCTCCTAACCTCCAGGCCACATGCACTACATTAAAATGCAAGAAGCCCCACCCCACCCCACCAGTCCCAGCTCCCTGTCCCCTCCACCCCTAGTCCCCCAATAAAGCCCATGTCCATGGAAAACGGCTGTGGCTTTAGTTTTATTGCTTGCTTTTTTTTTTTTTTTTTTTTTACCAAACTACCAGCCTCTAGCAGGAGGAGAAGCTAGACCTGAGGGTGTTTCCTGTCCATGCCCACAGAAGGAGCAGAGGAAGAGCCGGGTTTGGATCAGAGGAGTCCTTTCTTAGCCAGAGGGGGGCGAACTGCCGAGTCTTGGCACCGTTCACCTCCTTAACGAGGGGGACAATCCTCAGGCCACTGGGGGGTGGTCTTAGAGTGGCAGAGGCGCAGTTGGTCAGTCCAGGGTGGGGGCAGGAGTCTCCACTAGCCAGGGAGGGTCCTGGTTCTTCGTCTGTCTCCACCCATGGCTTGCAGCCTGCAGGTGCCCTGGGGCAGGGGGGGGCATCGCAAGCGTCCACATCACAGGAGCTGGGCTTTCCCCATGGGGCAGCTCGATGCTGGGGTCTCCTCCCATTACATCCTGCGCTCCTTGAGGATTCGGGGGCATCAGCTGGGTGCCTAGGGTCACCCCCCCTCCTCTAGAGAAGGAAAGCCGTGGAGGGGCCGGCCGGGGCGCTGCTTGTCAGGCAGGACAGTGCTGGTCTGTGTTCTCGGGAGTCTGGTTTCAGACTGTCCTGTATTCCCTGCCTGGCTCTGGTCCCACTGGCCTCTTTTCGGTGACATTCTCCCCCAGGAACCGTCCCTCGCTGTCCCCTCCCCCAGCCCCAGCCCGGTGAGGGAACACAGACCTTACCCCCCCACAGATGACTGCCCCCCCCCAATCCACAGCCCATTCCGCCCTCATTCAGCAGATCTGAGCTGAGCACCTGCTGTGTGCCACTCACTGTCTTGGGTTCCCCAGCTGGGGCCCACCCCGTGGGACAGGGACGAGAAGTTTCCCGGGTGTGAGGGAGTCTGGGATGTCTACACAGGTAGGGGCTGCTTGGGGCACCATATAAGGAGGAGGAGGTGGCCTGGGAGCCAGGCCCCCCTGGAGGGCTGAAAAGGAGCTTGCCAGGCAGGGGAGGGGTTGGAAGGAAAGGAGCTCTGGGCAGAGGGTACAGAATGTGCGAACACGTGGAGGTGAGAAGGAGCGGGCAGGATCAGGGCTCCGCGGGCAGAGAGAGCAGCAAACAAGGATGGAAGGTGTTGAGGCTCCTGCGGGGCCCACAGGGAACCCGGACTTCATTCTCAGGGTACGCGGGGCCCCCAGAAAGCTCGAAGGGTGGAGTGATCACATTTGGATTTGGGCTGGATGCTTATCTGGATGAGGAGTCCGATACTGGAGGATTCGGCTCTGAGATGCGTCCTTTCACATTGCTCCTTTCCCTACGGCAGCACCCAGTCCTGGGACAAGGAATCTACCCATTCCCTGGCTTGTCAGGCCTGCCCCCACCCCGGGAAGTCAGCCTCAAGGATTCTAGGATAACTTCAAGGGCACTGGGCATCCCACCTCCTCAAACTGAGACCTGATTTGGGGGCTGAAGCTGAGGCTTCCCCCTCTACCCCCACCTCAAGGACCTAGGGTTCTGGCCTGAGGGTGCAGGAGGAGAGGGCTGGGTGAGTCTCTGGCTGTGCTGTCAAAACCGATTTGGGATTTGGGGCCCACTGCTTCTCATTCTCTTCGGCCTCCTCCTGGGCTCAAGGCGGCAGCCAGCAGAGTGTGGGGTGCTGTGCCCCCTTTTCTCTCAACTTCCCTCTCCTGCCACTCGCACTCAGGGAATGCAAACGCATCTCAACATCCACCTCAAGCAAACATAATTAGGAAGATAAATCAGCTGCAGGAACCCCCAAAGTTTAATCCATTTCCAAAGCGCCGGGAACAGATTCAGGTCCCTTCGGCAGGGCTGAGTTGCCAGACGTTGTATTTCCAGGGAAGGGGCTCCCGAAGGGTGGGAGCAGGGAGTGGGGCTGCTCCTTGGTCTCAGGGGCCCCTGCAGGCTGGAGGGAGGGGACCCTGCTCCCGCCCCCAGCCCAGATGCCAAGTCAGACCCAACTTCCTCCTCTGCACTGTTTCCCCCACAAATTAGACACCCATTTGGGAAACAATGTAGCCTCGTTAATCATTTAATGAAATAAACAACTAATCATGCTGTGATGCTGCCAGTGTTTCTTAACCTCTGCAATCAGCCTGCCTATGAGGGGGGTGGGGGCACCGTGGGGAGGAAGGGGACTCCCTCTAACCCCCGAAACTCTGACAGCGGCTTCTCCCTGGTGTCTCCAGTCCCCTCAGGAGAGACAGCCCTGGGAAGGGCATGACATTCTCAGGCAAGTCGCAGGGCCTGGGTCCAGCCCTGTCGCTTCCTCCCTGGGGAGCCAACATCTGTCTGAACCTCAGTTCTTTCACCTAGAGAAGGGGCTGGATCACCATGTGTGTTGTTAAGGAAGAATTGGAAGAGGGAACATCTTAGAAAAGCTGCTTGGCCCTTTTTTTTTTTTTTTTTAAGGATTTACATATTTATTTGAAAGAGTTTCAGAGAGACAGGGGGAAGCAGAGACAGAGCCAAGCTTCGGTTCACTCCGCAAATGGCTGCAACAGCTGGGGCCAAGGTAGGTGGAAGCCAGGAGCTTTGTCTGGGTCTCTCACATGGGTAACAGGGGCCCAAACACATGGGCCATCCTCCACTGCTTTCCCAGGCTATAGCAGAGAGCTGGATCAGAAGTGGAGCAGCCGGGACTCGAACCGGTGTCCACATGGGATGCCGGCGTCGCAGGGGGCAGCCTCACCCACCATGCCACTACCTTTGGAAGGGCCTGAGCTGCTGTCTGCCTCTATTCTCTAACCAAGATTTGCAGGCTTGAGTGCTTCTGAGCTGAGGGAATCAGGAAAGACTTCTTGGGGCAGGGGGTGTTTTGTGCTGGGATCTCAAAGCTGGAGGAGAGCCAGGAGGGGAGGTGGCAGCATCTTCCCACACCTCTCCGGGGGGTTGGGGGGGAGCGCCAGTGACTCCTCCACAGGCTGAGGTCCTCTGAGCTCCCTTATTACTTTTCCTGAAGTCTCTGGGTGAGAACCCCATGTTGCCATAGTAACCCCACCCCAGATACACTCAGCTCAGTCCGGTGGGCTGAGGAAGGTGGGGAGGGCGGGGGGAAGGAGTCAGGTCCTTAAGTCATGTTCTTCATTTCCCACCCCACACTCTCTTCCCCAGAAGGGGCTCAGTGCTTTGTTCTAAGAGTTCTACCCAGGGTGGCTCCTCTCCTGCCTCCCTCCTTCCAGCTGGGTTCCCAGGTATTTTCTCTCTTCCAGGTGAGGGTCAGAGTGGGGAGGGGGGCTCCCAGGCTGCTACCCCCCAGCAGCTGGAGGGACAAGAGAGACCTGTATATAAGTGCCCCTCCCCCAAGAAAATGCCTCTGCTGTTGACTCCTAAATAACAGATGTCTGTCTGCATATTAATGAGATTGGACGAATAATTGGTGAGTTTTTCATTCAGTGTCAGAATGAACCCAGAGGCCTTATGTTCGTGCACACAGACACCCACTCGCCCCCACCCCAGCTCTCCCTCCCCCCAGTGCACAATGGAACAGAGCCGGCAGGCTTGACCCACAGAGGGGAGGGGCAGATGGGAACTGGGCAGGGGTGTCAGCAGGAGGGAGACCCCCGTGGTCTGTGTGTGTCGGGTCTCTGGATCACTGCCTTCCCATCCATGCCAGGGGCAAAGCTGGCATCGGTGAGACAGCAGCACCCCGCAGGAGGGACCAAGGCGCAGGTAGGAGAGGGTTCTGGGGGAGGAAGTGGCCTCCTTCAAGGAGGCTGAGTCTGGATTGCACGAGCCCCTTATCTGTGTCACACCCTGTGCCAGGCTGTGAGGTGTAGAACGGAGGTTTCAGAATCAGCTGGGTGCCCTTGGGCAAGTTACCCAGCCTCTCTGAGCCTCGCAGAACGTGCAGTTCGCAAGACTGAAAGGAGTTGTGTGCCTCAAGTGTTCTGTCAGCGCCTGGGCCACGTGAGCCCCAGCACCCCCTGCCAGACCCACCTTTGTTAGGGCAGGGGTTAAGCAGAAGGTTCCTAAATTGTCCTACATGTGCAGACACTGAGGGGGCAGGCAAAGGGAAAGAGGTCAGACAGGCAGGTGGGAGGGGTGGGGGCCAAGGCCGAGAGGGAGCCGGAACCAGGAAGGGAGACTGCACTGCAGGGCAGTGACCGGAGCCGGGAACCTGGAGTTTCCAAGGCCCAGTTCTGCCACGGATTTGCCGTTTGACCTGAACGAGTCTCGTGTCCTCTTAGCACCTCTGCCAAATGGGGGGTGGGGCGGGCTGCTCTCTAAGGCCCCTTCTCATTGTGTGAGGACAAGAGTGCCAGCGTCCCGAGGAGCCCAGGGGAGGGGGGGAGGCGGCTGCCCACCCCCCAGCGCGATCGTCCATCAGTCACTTGTGCTCTGTCTGCGCTCTCCCCGGGTAAATGGATCTGCTGCGCCAGCAAACAACTGTCCATTGTGTCCTAATGAGGGACGAGCAGGGAAAACCAATCACTTAGGATGCAAATGAGCCTCCTCGAACTCACTGAGTGCCTCTCTTCTGCCCAGAGCAGGGCGCCGCCCCAGTTGGGCCTCTCTCCGAGGCCCAGTTCCCATCTGGTCCCGCAGGAGGAGGAGGGGAGGCTGGACTGGCCACTCCCGGCTCCTCTCCCTGTGCTGGCTGCATTTTGTTGTTTTCTAGAAAGTGAGTGAAAAATCATGTCACATGTAATTGCCCCTTTACAATATATTTATTTATATTTGAAAGTCAGAGAGAGAGCGCTCCCACCTGTTCCACCCATGCCAACAGCCAGATTGGGCAGGGCCCTCGCGAGTGGCGGGAACCCAGTGGCTGGAGCCATCCATCGCCTGGCATCGTGTGCATTCACTGTGCAGAGCACCCAGCACGCTTCAGAGGGGAAGGAATGATGGCGCTGGCATGGGTGAGGGGAGAGGCCCAGAGCGGGGCTGGGGGAAGAGGGTTAGCCCCACAGCTCAGGATGGCGCCCAAAGGCTTGGCCTTGGTGGGAGGGAGATGGCTGCCTCAGGCAGCGGCGCCCTCGGGGGCCCGCGGCCTCTCCTGTAGGAAGGGACCAGCTGAGCTCTGGGGGGCTCCTCAACTATTTCTTGGGCAGAGGCGACTCTTGCACAGATTTTGGTTTCCATGGCTTTCAGAGCCCCCCACCCCACTGGCTTGGGGGTGATCCCACCAACAGGCTTCCCACCTTTGCCTTCAGGGAAAACCTCGCCTCACCGGGCTCCGGGGGCAGGGAGGCACACCAGCTTGTTCAGGGCCCAGCCTCTCCACCACCTCCACCGTAACCTGAGTTTCTCTTGCGCAGTGTACCTTGCTGTTTGGGTTTATGTGGTTTCGAAGAGGAAATGACAAACATCTGCTCAGCTGTGTGTCTGTGCTACCTTTGGATTCACCCTCTCCCCTCCCTCATCTAGGACACGCGGTGATGCTTAAACAAACACATACACACACACACATACAAACCCCAGACCCAGGTGGGATGAACCAGTGCCAAGTGCTGCAGCATTGCGGAAAAAACCCACGGGCTTTACAGGGTCACAGCTTTCTTTCATCTTCTTCCCCAACCCTACCCCGTGTCCACGGGAGCCCACACTCCCTCCAGACGTGGCCCAGACACCATAATGAGGGCATTTCCTTCGGTGGCCTAATGAATGGGGACTCCGGGCTGGTCATTTTCAGGTCTGCCAGCAGCTCACTGAGTGCGCAAGGCCTTGGGCCTCAGTTTTCTCACCTGTAAAGTGGGGTTAGTAATCTTTAGAGAGAAGAGACGGATAATGGCTGTGCCAGTGCTTTGAACTCGCAAAGCGATTATCACAAACACCCTAATTATACCCCCAGTGATGGCAGCAGCAGGCTCTCTGTCTGCCCTGAGTTCAGCCTGGAGAAGGCCTCCCTGATGGACAGGGAATCTGATGCTGTCTGGGTGGGAGAGCTGGTTGATTAATCACAGATGGGAGGCTTTGTAACAGGCAAAAGAATCAAAGAGGAAATCCGTAGGTGCAGGTTTAGAAGAGGAAGCCCCGTTGGAGCCCTTACATTGTTTTTGGAGCAGATCAGGGTCCCAGGGTGGGAAGGATTGAAGGGAACAGCACTCCCAGCGGCAGAATGTGGCTGGTTCCCAAGAGTTCTTGATGACTGGGAGGTCCTTTAGTTCACTGAGCCTTTTCGTTCATCCTGTAGCTCACTTAGCAAATACTCATTGGGTGCCTACCAAAGATAAAATGATTCTAATCGGGGCCAGTGCTGTGGCCTAGCAGGTTAAGCCACCACCTGTGTTGCCAGCATCCCATACAGGCTCCAGTTCAATTCCTGGCTCTTCCATTTCTGATCCAGCTCCCTGCTATGGCCTGGGAAAGCAATGGAACATGGTCCAGGTACTTTGGGCTCCTGCCCCGACGTGGGAGATCTGGATCAAGCTCCTGGTTCATGGCTTGTGGCCATTTAGGAAGTGAACCAGCAGATGGAAGATCTCTCTCCCTCTGTAACTTTCAAATAAATTAATTTTTAAAAATGACACTAATAGTGCCATAAGGAATTATACAGGCCTTCTAATTAAATAGAGAAGCTAGAGTATGCCCATGCACAACTTGATGGAAGAAAGCATAAATAAAGCAAAACTCCTGGGGTATCTAAAAATTTGTTTATTTACTTGAAAGGCAGAATGATGGAGATCTTCCATTTGCTGGTTCACTCATCAAATGCCCACAACAGCTGGGGCTGGGTCAGGCGAAAGCCAGGACCGTGGAATTCCATCTGGGGCTCCCACATGCAGTTGGGCCATCACCTGCAGCCATGCTAAGTGCACTAGCAGGAAGCTGGATCCCAAGTGGAGAAGCTGGGAGTCAAACTAGCTCTCAGGTATAAGAGGTTGGCATCCCCAGCAGTGGCTCACACACCATACCACTCGTGTTGTTCTCAGTGGGGAGAGATTTTTGTCCTGGAAAACCTGGAGGGGGCTCCGTGGAGGGGCGGGGTATGGTCCTGTGGGGATGGCGATCAGAACTCACCAGGGGGAACACAAGGTTTGGACAAAATCTATTTTTGGAGGCCAGGGTGCCTAAAGCAGCATTGGAAAGCTTGCGTTTGGACGTGGAATGGAAGGTCGGG